TTTTCCGCCAGAAAACTGATAAAACTCTTTCCCGGTCAAATTTAATTAATTTGCACTGGATATTTCATCCCCCACCTCTGAATTTAATGTCTTCACGTGGCCAACCCCAAACCCCACACACGTGTGCGTAGCTAATTCTCGATCTCACTTGGTGCGTTCTCACGTGAACTCAGTGGAGGAACACGGCGGAGCCGCCTCGCCGCTGCCGCCAGCGGCGGCGGCGGCCGGAACACCACCATTCCAAATCTCCATGAAAGCTCGAACGATGACTTCGTGGTAGCGAGAGGAATTCAGCTGCAGAAAACAGTCAAGAAGCTGCTGGAGATCGTTTCTCGTGTAGATTTCTTTCTCGAAGATCATTTGAAGCATCGATTGCCGGAAATCTTGGTATGGGTCGTCGGAATCTTTGACGACGGCGAAGCTGTCCTTGATTTTCGGGTACTTGTTGCGATCGTCGTGTTGTTGTTGTTGCTGTTTTTCCGGGCAGTAATGGCCGGCCCGGGAGGTGTCGATGGTGAGGGAGAAGGTGGTGGATGATCGGTCCTCGTCGCTGTCGACGGCGGCGGACTTCCGGCAGCCGCCGCCGTATCTCCACGAGAAGCTGTCTGAAGAAGATTGGCGGCGGCTGGGGTTTTGGTCGGAGAAGGATATCTTGGATACGGGTTTGGGTTCGATTATACTGTCTGCCGAGTTCGACCCGCATCCGCTACAGCCTCCATTTGCTGAGAAAATGCTCGTAAATTTCCATATCTTGCCAGAAGACATGCCGGAGGAGGCGGTGGGGCTATGGTGGCGGGTGGGTGATGATTGTGGTTGATCAAATTTGTCGTGAAAGTATAGTAATCCAAGAAAGGTCTTGTTGCACTTATATATAGGTGATAATAGGGGAATACGATGCTACACCCGGTGATTTTCATCGGGTGGCTCTTTTCTTGACATGTGTCCTTTTTTATTTATTTTATAATTATATTTCTAAAACCCATTAGTGGGAATCTTATTAATTTGGGTGCCTGGTTATATTCACCAGGTGTAGCATAGAATTTCCCGTAATAATAGGATAAATAATGATTTAATTGATGGATATTATAATTATATAATAAATAAGTTAGAGTAAAATATATAGCATATTTATAAATATGGACTTTATTTTTTTTTTAAGATTTATAATTTTAAAGGCCCATCTTTTTTTCCCTTTAAGAAAAGCTATTTGACAATTTTATTACGAGAGAGATAATAATTGACCCTATATATAAATATAAATGAAAAAAAAAAAGTAGTTTCGTATACTTTCATAGAGTAATAATTGTTGTGTAATTTAGGTAAAATGCTAAAAAACAAGGCACATGTAGTTTTGGACTTTGGCATTTGGATGTTGTTACATATCTACAAATTGAGCTCCTATTATTATTTTTGTAATATGCTATGTCTAAAAGAAATAATGCGGTCAAAAAGAGGGTTCTGTAAATGGTACATCTCGAGAAATAGACTGGATGATCTTGAACTATTGATCTACACCTAATAATGCATACATTATTTGTATGTGTGTTTAATTAATAATTATGTATATATATCTACGTTTCAAAACCCATCGTTATGTTACATCAGGTGTTGTTTTATGTACTTAATCAAATCTAATAATGACATTAATCTTGTATTTTGAGCAATCGTATCCTATTGTTTATTATACCTCATTATTAGGTAATTAGGTTAACATTTCTCCAAACCCTATAATAATTATACACAATGGCCATGTTCCTAAGTTT